GGAGGGGGATGGACCCTCCTGAAGGCCCGGGGGGCTCCTTTGGGGACAGTGGGACCCAAAGGGGGGTTGTCTGGGTGCTGGTACTTGGGGGGGATCAGACCCTCCTGAGGGGCTCCAGCCCCTTCCCAGGGGGGCTCCAGTTCATCCCTGGGGGGTTGTTTGGGTGCTGGAGGGGGATGGACCCTCCTGAAGGCCCTGGGGGGGCTCCTCTGGGGATAGTGGGACCCAAGGGGGGGTTGTCTGGGTGCTGGTACTGGGGGGGAATCAGCCCTCCTGAGGGGCTCCAGCCCCTCCCAGGGTATTCCAACCCCTTCCCAGGGACTCCAGCCCCTTCTGGGAGGCTCCACTCCCTCCCAGGGGGCTCCCACAGAGCTGTCACTCCTCGTATCCCCTTTTTTTGGGGGGAGAACCCAGCTCTGGATTCCGGGATCCCTCAGGGATCCCTCAGGGATCCCTCACCTCACGGCAGCAGGAATGAGCTGCCGGCATTTCCAGCGGGGGATCAGGAGCCGGGATTTTTTCCTCCCCTCCCCTTTTTTTTTCCCCTCCCTGGGACATCTGGGCGAGCTGGGAGTTGTGTATTTTGGCAGCAGAGCCCGTCTAGTAACAGGAGACAAACTGTGTTGGGCTTGTTTTGTCTGTCTGACGGCCCCGCCGAGCTCCTTCCCGGGAATCCCAGGCAGGACTGGGATCAGCTGGGAAAAGGGGACCGTCCCTGGGGATGGGCAGGATCCTCTCTCCGGAGAAATCCCTGCGGCTGACGCCGCTTTCCTTGTGCTCCACAGTTGGCAGGAGGGAGAAAATGAAAGCAGGCTGCAGCATTGTGGATAAACCTGAAGGAGGAGGAGGTAAGGAGGTCGAAAGGCTCGAGTTTTCAGCCGTTCCCAACCCTTTTTCCCGGGATAAAGGAGCTCGAGGAGGGTTAATTTTGCCTCTCCGGGGCCGGGGCGAGCGAGGGTTGAGATTTCCTCGGTGGGTTGTGAGGGCTGGGATGTGAAAATGCCAATAAACCCCCCCCTGGAGATGGATTAGCTGGAAGGGTTTGGGAATTTCTGAGGGCTGGGGTGGGAAAATGCCAATAAACCCCCCCTGGAGATGGATTACCTGGAAGGATTTGGGAATTTCTGAGGGCTGGGATGTGAAAATGCCAATAAACCCCCCCTGAGATGGATTAGCTGGAAGGGTTTGGGAATTTCTGAGGGCTGGGGTGGGAAAATGCCAATAAACCCCCCCTGGAGATGGATTACCTGGAAGGATTTGGGAATTTCTGAGGGCTGGGTTGTGAAAATGCCAATAAACCCCCCCTGGAGATGGATTAGCTGGAAGGGTTTGGGAATTTCTGAGGGCTGGGGTGGGAAAATGCCAATAAACCCCCCCTGGAGATGGATTACCTGGAAGGATTTGGGAATTTCTGAGGGCTGGGTTGTGAAAATGCCAATAAACCCCCCCTGGAGATGGATTAGCTGGAAGGGTTTGGGAATTTCTGAGGGCTGGGGTGGGAAAATGCCAATAAACCCCCCCTGGAGATGGATTACCTGGAAGGATTTGGGAATTTCTGAGGGCTGGGTTGTGAAAATGCCAATAAACCCCCCCTGGAGATGGATTAGCTGGAAGGGTTTGGGAATTTCTGAGGGCTGGGGTGGGAAAATGCCAATAAACCCCCCCTGGAGATGGATTACCTGGAAGGGTTTGGGAATTTCTGACCCTGGTTGGGTCTGTTTGGAGTCTTGGGGTGGGATGTGGGTTCTCCTGGATGGAGTCTGGAACTGTGGCCACAAAAAACCACCCAAAAAAACCCCAACCAGCCTCGTGCTGGGAGTTGTGCTGGGAAATATCCCGAGGGATCTGGAGCTTGGCAGTCCCTCAGGAATATCTGTTGGCACGGCAGAGTCGGGATCTGGAGCCGCCCTGGAATCCACACCAACTTAAATCCTCAAATTGGGATTTTTTTGGGGCCTTATTTCCAATCCTTGGAAGGGCTGAAAGACGGGTTGGATGGGGCTTGGAGCCACCTGGACTATGGAAGGTGTCATTCCAACTCAAACCATTCCATGATTCCAGGCAAATTTGGTTCATTCCAGCTCCAACCAGCGGGTTTTGGGCTCCTCACACTTCCATCCCCCTCAGTTTTCCCATTTTTGGGGTGGGTTTTTTTTAGGGATTCTCCAGGAAGAGGGGTCTGAAAGCTGGAGGTGGAGAGCTGGGTCTCTCCTCCTGGGATTAAACATGGAATTAAACCTGAAATCTCTCCCCAGTATCCCTGCAAATCTGTCATCTGGGAGGGAATCTCATCAGTCCATGGAAATATCTTAAATATCCGTGGAAATCTTTCATCTGAGGGGGGGGAATCTCATCAATCCATAGAAATCTCTCAGATATCCCTATAAATTTCTTACCTGAGAGAGGTCTCATCAATCCATGGAAATAGCTCAGATATCCATAGGAATCTCTCAAATATCCCTAAAAATTCCTTGTCCAAAAAGGAATCTCATCAATCCATGGAAATATCTCATCAATCCATGGAAATATCTCATCAATCCATAGAAATCTTTGAAATATCCCTACAAATTTCTCATCTGAGAGGGATCTCATCAATCCATGGAAATATCTCCAATATCCATGGAAATCTCTCAGATATCCCTACAGATTCCTTATCCAAAAAGGGGAATCTCATCAATCCATGGAAACATCTCATCAATCCTTGGAAATAGTTCAGATATCCCTACAAATCTCAAATATCCCAACAAATTCCTTGTCCAAAAGGGGAATCTCATCAATCCATGGAAACATCAATCCATAGAAACCCCTCAAACATCCATAGAAATCTCTCAGATATCCCAACAAATTCCTTGTCCATCAATCCATGGAAACATCTCATCAATCCATAGAAATCTCTCAAATATCCCTACAAATTTCTCATCTGAGAGAGATCTCATCAATCCATGGAAACATCTCATCAATCCATGGAAACATCTCATCAATCCATACAAACCTCTCTGATATCCATGGAAATCTCTCAAATATCCCTACAAATCCCTTGTCCAAAAGGGGATCTCATCAATCCATGGAAACATCAATCCATAGAAACCCCTCAAACATCCATAGAAATCTCTCAGATATCCCAACAAATTCCTTGTCCCAAAGGGGATCTCATCAATCCATGGAAATATCTCATCAATCCATGGAAACATCTCATCAATCCATACAAACCTCTCTGATATCCATGGAAATCTCTCAAATATCCCTACAAATCCCTTGTCCAAAAGGGGATCTCATCAATCCATGGAAACATCTCATCAATCCATGGAAACCCCTCAAACATCCATAGAAATCTCTCAGATATCCCAACAAATTCCTTGTCCCAAAGGGGATCTCATCAATCCATGGAAACCCCTCAAACATCCATAAAAATCTCTCAGATATCCCAACAAATTCCTTGTCCATCAATCCATGGAAACATCTCATCAATCCATGGAAACATCTCATCAATCCATGGAAACATCTCATCAATCCATGGAAACATCTCATCAATCCATACAAATCTCTCATCAATCCATAGAAACCCCTCAAACATCCATAAAAATCTCTCAGATACCCCTACAAATTTCTCACCTGAGAGGGGGGGATCCCCCCAATCCCTGGAAATCCCTCTTAAACCCCGGAATATCTGATGGAATTCCAGCCCCCGGAGCGAACCCCGGGCGCCTTTTCGCGTCTCTTTGAGCGACACTTTTCCCCCTCTCTCCCTCTTCCCCCAAGGGTATCATTTCCCGGAGTGGGCTTATAAAACCGAGTCCAGCCCTGGCTCCAGGCAGATCCAGCTGTGGCACTTCATCCTGGAGCTGCTCCAGAAGGAGGAATTCCGTCATGTCATCGCCTGGCAGCAGGGAGAGTACGGCGAGTTCGTCATCAAGGACCCCGACGAGGTGGCCCGGCTGTGGGGGAGGAGGAAATGCAAACCCCAGATGAACTACGACAAGCTCAGCAGGGCCCTCAGGTGAGGAGGAGGGGGAGGCTGGAAAGGAGCATTCCCAGCTTTTTCTGGGGGGGAATTCCATTGGAAGTGGCCAAGGATGAGGTTGAACGGGGTTCGGAGCAGCTCGGCCTGGTGGGAGGGTGTGGAGGGTCCCTTCCAACCCAGAGCATTCCAGGATATTCCCTGTGCTGGTTTAGGTGGGATATTGGGGGTAAATCCTTCCCTGGGAGGGTGTTGAGGGTCCCTTCCAACCTAGAGCATTCCAGGATTCCCCCTGTGCTGGTTTAGATGGGATATTGGCAGTAAATCCTTCCCTGGGAGGGTCCTTTCCAACCCAAAGCATTCCAGGATATTCCCTGTGCTGGTTTAGGTGGGATATTGGGGGTAAATCCTTCCGTGGGAGGGTCCTTTCCAACCCAAAGCATTCCAGGATTCCCCCTGTGCTGGTTTAGGTGGGATATTGGCAGTAAATCCTTCCCTGGGAGGGTGGTGAGGCCCTGGCACAGGTTATTTCCATGGATTCCCATCCATGGACAAGTGTCGCCAAAGGTCCCTTCCAACCTGAGCATTTCCAGGATATTCCCCTGTGGGCTGGTTTAGAATGAAATTATTGAGGGAAATCCTTCCATCAGAGGGTCCTTTCCCCAACCCAAAGCCATTCCAGGAATCCCCCCTGTGGCTGGTTAGGTGGATATTGGGGTAAACTCCTTCCCTGGGAGGGTCTTTCCAAAACCCAAAGCAATTCCAGGATATTCCCTGTGCTGGTTCTAGGTGGATATTTGAGGATAAATTCCTCCCTGGGAAGGTGGTGGCACAAGATTATTTCCCATGGATTCCCGCCATCCCTGGAAGTGTCCAAAGGCCAGGCCGGATGGGGCTTGGAGCAACCTGGAGTGTGGTCATGGCCTTGATGATCTTTAAGGTCCCTTCCAAAGCATTCCAGGATATTCCCTGGGCTGGTTTAGGTGGGATATTGGGGGTAAATCCTTCCCTGGGAGGGTCCCTTCCAACCCAAAGCATTCCAGGATATTCCCTGGGCTGGTTCAGGTGGGATTAGGTGGGATATTGGGGGGTAAATCCTTCCCTGGGAAGGTGTTGAGGGTCCCTTCCAACCCAGACCATCCCATAATTCCACGACCAGGGCTGAGCATTCCCCTCCTTGCCCTTCCCAACTCCAAACCCTCCAACCCTCTCCCCTTCCAGCCCCTTCCATGGGGGTTTTATCCCAGTTTTCTCCACACTTTTGGGAATCAGAGCTCGGAGAACCCGCCCGGCCCTCGGAGGTGTTTCCACGCTCCAGGAGCGTCCCAGTCCCTGGGAAGTCATGGAATTATCAGTCCCTGGCGTGGCCTTGGCTGCCCCACACCCTCTGATACCTCCTGGGTGGAGCTGCCAAAGGCAAACACGGGAGTTTCCTCCGGGAACGGGGAGGAAAAACGGGTGGAAAACACCCCTGCCTTGGGATCCGTGTCCCCTGGATGCTGTTCCCACAAAAGATCCCCCTATCCCGGCCTGGGGAGGCATGGATTGGAGTGCTGGATGGGGAAGGGATGATCCATGGAGGTGATTTGGGGGCTGGAGCATCTCTGGTGAGGAGAGACTCATCCAAATATCTCCAATATCCATAAAAACCTCTCATCTGAGAGGGAATCTCGTCACTCCATGGATATATCCCATCAATCCAGACAAATACCTCAGATATCCCTGGAAATATCTCCAATATCCCTAAAAACCTCTCAGTTGAGAGGAGATTCTCTCAGTCCATGGATATATCCCATCAATCCAGACAAATGTGTCAAATATCCCTGGAAATATCTCCAATATCCATAAAAACCTCTCAGTTGAGAGGAGATTCTCTCAGTCCATGGATATATCCCATCAATCCATGTAAATGTGTCAAATATCCCTGGAAATATCTCCAATATCCATAAAAACCTCTCAGTTGAGAGGAGATTCCATCAGTCCATGGATATATCCCATCAATCCATGCAAATGTGTCAAATATCCCTGGAAATATCTCCAATATCCATAAAAACCTCTCATCTGACAGGGAATCTTGTCAGTCCATGGATATATCCCATCAATCCAGACAAATACCTCAGATATCCCTGGAAATACCTCAGATATCCCTAAAAACCTCTCATCTGAGAGGGAATCTCATCAATCCATGGGAATATCTCCGATATCCATGGAAATGTCTCAGATATCCCTACAAATCTCTCCAATATTTCGGTATCCCAAGAAAAATCTCTCCACTACCCCCTGGAAACCCCTGATCTGAGGGTGGATCCCATCCATCCATCCATGGAAATATCTCACCTGCCTTGGAGGATCTCCAGAGGTCCCTTCCAACCCCCAATATCCCGGGAAAGGAGGATCCAAGCCCTGGGCAGGGGAGGGAGTGGTTTTAATCCCAAAAAAAGGGGGGATCAGAAGGGGAAGGGACTCGCACCGAGGCACCAAGCAGCAGGAACCAGCTCTCCCAATCCCTGGGCCGGGAAAATCCCGGGAATCAAAACCAATCCCAGGCCAATCCAGGGGATTTGGGCCCCGTTTTTCCCGGCTCTGGTCGCTCCGAGTGTTGTCCCAGGGACACGTTCCCCTCTCTCAGGGAATATCCACCGGGATTTTTCTCCTCCATGGCATTTCTCAGCATTCCCAGGGCTGGGAATAGGGAGGGAGTGCCCGGGAATGCCCAGGAGAGCTCCCAGCCCGTGGCACTGGTCCCAGTTTGGACTGGGCCGAGGAGAACATGGGATGTTATTCCAGCTTTTCCCGCCCGTTCCAAGGGACGTAACAACCTCTAAAATGGAATATCCCGGGCTGGAAGGGAATTCCACGTGTTCCAAGGGACGTCATAACCTGGGAAAAAGGGGTGTGGAACCTCCTGCTGAGGAAGGGGCTGGAAAAGGGGTTTGGCGTCGTTGGGAAACCTCCCGGCGGACTGAGACTTCCCGGTGTTGACAACAGAAATCGTGGGATATCCTGAGTAGGGAGGGTCCCACCGGGGGGTCACGGAGCCCCAGCTCCTGGCTCTGCATCCCAAAGATCCCCAAAAAGATCCCAAAGGTTCGGGGCAGCTCCAGTTTTCTCCGGGACCTCGGAGGAGGCGGCGACGTCGGCGCCGCTCCCGAAAAGACGGGATCTGGAGCGGCCTCGGATCCATCTCTTCCCAATCCCTTCCCAGATACTACTACAACAAGAGGATCCTCCACAAGACAAAGGGCAAGAGGTTCACCTACAAGTTCAACTTCAACAAGCTGGTGATGCCCAACTACCCTTTCATCAACATCCGGCCCAACGGTGAGTCGGGCG